AGAGTGAGATGTCAATGCTAATACAACTGACAGCCTAAACCTTCATCTTTTTTTTTTTTTGGCCGTGCCACGCAGCATGCAGGACCTTAGTTCCCCGACCAGGGATCAAACCTGGGCCCCCGGCAGAGGAAGCATGGAGTCTTAACCACTGGACTGCCAGGGAAGTCCCAAAACTTCGTCTTATAAAAAAGAAAACTCAAGTCTCCTTGCTTACAGACGTTTATAAAGGCAATCTCAAAAGAAACAAATGACAAAAAGGAAGGTGTAGCAATTTATCTGGGTTGTTTCTTGATATTTCATCATTCTAAATTATACTTTATCGGACTTCCTATTTAAACTACAAAAGCAACATATCTTTGTCGCTATAAGGCAAACCCAAGAGGGGTATACAAATAAAAAGCCATGAAACCACCCTCCCCCAATGCCGACCCCCTTCCACCCACCTAAGGCAATCACAGTGGGCAGCCAGGAGTACACTCCTCCAAGCCTTTGTGCCAAGCAACATAAATACCTGTAAACAAGTGGGACTAGACCAGAACCCAAGGTTGTACCCTCAAACGCCTGGGGGGCCCAGCAGATCATGTCATGGTGAAGCTACAGGTGTAACAGAATAAGGACAGATGGGGCCTGTGGCCAACTACGCCACTTAAAGCTTTCCATTTTGAACATTTGGAAAGCACTGAACTGGCCATACAAGGCATCTGAGAGAGAGACTGGACAGTGCTCCTTGGGTAGAGTAGCAGAGTTAGTAAGAGCTCAGATTATGGAGACCTGGTAACATCCTGGGCCCAGTGCCTATTGGCTAGGTCACCGTTAAGAAAGTCACTTAGTCTCTGTGCTTCAAATTCCTCCTCTGAAAAGAGGCAATCCAACAGTCCCTTCTTTGTAAGTTCACTGTGAGAAGAGAATAATGTAAAGCACTTAGCACTCGCCTGGCACACACTATTACTGGCCACCAGTCTGCAACCACTGCTGGAGACATTATTCTGCAATTTGTTTTTTAAACCTAACGATGTGTCATGGGCTTCCCTCATGTCAAGGTAGAGAGAGCTGGATCCTTTTCAATAACTGCCTAATACATGGCTGATGGGGGCTCCCATTCCTTCCACTTTTTTGCCACTACAAACAGTGGCTCAGAAAACAGCTTTGCACTGCTTTTTGCATTGGTGCTTTATTTCTGCAGGAATTGCTGCTGGGTTGACAGATATGGATATTTAATACTCATTAAATATTTTCAATTATAGTCCCCCAAAGTTGGAACAATTCATACTCCCAACAGCAATGTAAGGGAGCACTCATTTCCCCCAATCACTTGCTAACATTGGATTTTATCAATCTTTGTAACATTTTGCCACTTAAAAAGGTAAAAAAGAAAACTATTGTTTTTATTTTCATTCTGCTAGTGATGATCTTTTGAGGCAGAGATTTCCGACTTCTTTCTTTCTCCTTTTCTTCTTCAGCAAGAAAACTATTTTTAGCTAAGCACACTCCATGCTCCCTTGCTGCTCAGTGTGGCTAAGCTCCACTCGGTGAGATGTAAATGTTAGTGCTGTGTGAGACTTCTGAGAAGTATCTGAAAGGGAAAGGGCACACCCTTCTTCTCCCCTTTCTCCTTCTGGCTTCTGGAATGCAGATGTGACGACTGGAGCTCAAGCAGCCATCTTGAGTCAGGCAGCAATCTGCTATGGCTGGAAGAGCAGCAAGATATAGAACCTGGCGGCTCTGTGATGACTTTGATTCCACCACACCAACCTCTTTACTTTTTCATAAAATGATATAAACACTTATATGTTTAAGCCATTGTTATTCTGGGGTTATCCACTACATGCAACAAAATCTATTCCTAACCAATACATACCTTCTGATTCCCAAAAGTCAAAATTGAACCTTTATTTCTCTTTTTTGTAATACACATAAATAACAATGCCTTTATGTTTTATTTGCCCTATGTTTATTTAAGTCTCTTAAAAGTGGAACACTCATTTCCCCACTCTCCCATTCTTTCTCCCAAAGCCTTGGGTTTTACAGAGATGGTTTAGAATTTTTATTTTCAGCCTGTTATGTTTTCCCATACAGTTCTCCTCTGTTTTAAAAGTTCTTAATAACACACAATAAAAATTCTAACTCACAGTAGCTATATCCAATGAGATTAATCTCTGTGCACTAAAGGGTGCACCACAGCTCACCGCTTCCTGCACTCTCCATGTCCCCCACCCCAGAATCTCTGCTCTAACTGTCCTTTGGTTAGAGAACTTCAATGGGCGTTTTCCTCAGGCACACCTACCAGATGACGTATGCTTTATGTCCTCACACACGTGAAATGTCTTTCTTTCGCAATGACCAGGAGTGACATCTCGGCTGGCTCAGCGGGGGCTGCGGCCCCCTCTCTCCAACAGTCTGGAGACCCCGGACCACCATCTTCCGGCCTCCAGGGCTGCATATGGGAGGCCCAATGAGAGCCTAATTCTCTCTCCTTTGAAAACAGCTTGTTCTTTCTTCCTACAAAACTTTAAGATTTTTCTCTTTCTTCTTGGAGTTTAGGAATTTTACTAGAAAGTAGGTCTAAGTGTTGGGCTTTGCACGGGATGAATGGATCCATTTAATCTGAAGAATCAAATCTGTCTTCAATTCAGTGACATTTTCTTTTATTGTTTTCCTATTACTCCTCCATCTATTCCTTTTTCTCCTTCTGGAACTCCCATGACTCCATGGCAGGTCCCCTGGATAAAGTCTCCAAGGCCTTCCCTCATGGACAGTGTCTCACATTTTAATTCATTATTTCCATTTCTTTTTATTATTGTTCTGGGTTGTGAGGCATTTCTTCTACTTGACCTTCCAAACCAACAATTTCAGTTCTTAAATTGATTTTTAAATTCAAAAGCCATGTGTTTTAGTTCCAGCAAGCCTCTGGTACCCTTTAAATGCGTCCCCCTAGGAGCTCTCTCCTTGTAAAGTTCTTACACATCCTCTCCTTCCGTCCTGCCTCAAAGGAACCACTGCTCCAAGTGTGAAGCCTGGCTTCCCTCTTTCTCCAGCTAAGATCCCACAAAGCCGTCATGTGTCTTTGCCTGCTGAAGGGTGCAGGTTCACACAGCCCCTGTTCATGGCAGACCGCTCGAGCTTCTGTGGCAGTGACAAGCCTGAGGCCCTGTACGACCTGACAGCCTCTGTTCAAGGGGACCCAAGTGAAATGAGGTGGCAAACTGTGATCTTCCTGCTGAGAAATGGGGAGGAGACCCTCTGCTCTTTGGTCCCCTAGTGATGATGGGGGAGATGCAGTCCTCTCCCAGCTTCATGGACAGGGAGCAATTCCGCCCAGATCCCCTGGGATTGGCAAGATCGGGCAGTCCCTCAGAGGGCATAGGAAGCAAGTGGGCAGCTGCAGCCCCTCTCATGGAATCCAGTTCTAAGCAGCCTCAAAAGCACAGACAGAGGAGAGGAACTGCATTTCTAGAACTAGATTGACCTAGAGTCAAATATCAACTCTGACACTTATTTGCTGTGTGATCACAGGGAAATTACTTATCTCTGAGTCTCAGTTTTCTCATATGCTCTTACCTTTAAACCAACAGTTATTTCCAGCATCCTCCTAAGGGGAACCAATCCCTCTGATACGTAAGTTTCAGGGAACTTGCTTTTCCTAAGCACTATATGAATTACTTGTATTGTAGTTAATCATGCAATATCAAGGAAGGAAGACTGGGGCCCTGGCAGGAAAGCATCAGAAACTTTACCTTCTGCCTCTTTGTGAAAATAGGTTGACAGAAGGGTAAGGCTACTAGAAGAATCTGAAAAATATTGTAATATTTCAGCTTTTAGCATTTTTGTGACTGCTCCTACCTGAATAAAATCTCCTAGGATTCTTCTAGGCAAATACTCGCTGCCTCTTCCCCTATTATCTTACGGTATCTCAAGACTTGAGGACCATGGCTGCAAAGGGGATGGATGCTGGGAGCCATGAGAGAGTCCATGTTGGTTCCAGTTTAGTAAAATTTATGGAGCACCTACTATGTATAAGGCATTGAGCAAGGCACTGCACAGAATACAATAATGAGCAAGACACAATCCCTGACTTAAGAGACCTTGAAGTCTAGTCAAGGAGCTAAGGCAGGAGGTACAGGGGACATCAAAAAAGCACAATGCAATGCAGATCGTGGCCAGGGCCATGAGAGGGGGTTGAAACGAGTGTCAGGACAGTTTAAAAGGAGGAGAGCTCCAGTGAGTTGGGGAGTGCAGAAAAGCATTCTTGGAAGAGGTGACCGATGGGGTGGGCAGAATCTCAGGGAACAAGAATTGGGGGTGTGGGGGGGGGGGGGGGAGAGGGAGGCAGGGGGTTGACGAGTAGATTATAGAGTCTCTTGAAGATGATGATCAAGTCTTATTGCTTGAATCTTATAAGATTCTTTATATCTTCATATTCCTTCACCCATCCTCCCAGGGCCAAGCGTAACTCACACAATGAGCCGGCCCTCTCTGATGAAGGGTCTGAAGCAAGGACAGCCAAAAGTGAGGAGGGAAGCTGAACTGAGAGAGGGGAGGGGCTTGTGGGGAGGTACAAGGACCTGACTGAGCTTGAGAGAAAGGAGGTCGCCCAAGTCACCCCAACTGCTGGGAGGCCGATACAGAATGTTTGTCTTCTGAGCAACAGGAGCAAAAGGATGACAGCAAAACAGGGTGGCAACAAGTGTTCTTGCACGAGGAGGAGGCAGAGAGAGAAAGAAAGGAAAAAACCCTTGATACAAGAACCAGTGGTGAAAACCCCAGAGCTTAATTCATCTGGCGAGAAGAAGCCCCTAAAACACCCTGTGTGTGTGGCTCACTGAGGATGCCTGATGTCCCAAAAGCCCCTGTGCCCTCCTCAACCCTGCAGACTTGCTGATAGCAGGTTCCTCTGACTGCAACAGGACCCGGCTCACCCGTACCAGCTGCACCTCTGGGTGCCACAGCCTGGCTCTCTGCTCAAGAGGGCACAGGTCACTAGGGTCAGTGAACCCACTTACCAGGAACACATGTTGGGCTTCATAATCCCAGGCCAATAGGATAAACCATCCCAGCACGTCTCTTTCCAAACAGTAGCCGCTGTAAAAAGTAGGGGGGATAATTCCATTTACACAGTGTTCCAGACGGTAAGACTTGTTTCTCAAGGCTCAGCAAGGTCAGACCAACTATAGTGCTAGAAGATCTGATTTGAATCTGTTCTTTGAAATGTCAAAAACCTTCCCCATAGATCAATATGTGATATCATTAGCCTATCAGGTAGCAGAGCCTGTCCTAAAATCACCGGAATTAACTTCAACTTCTTCGGTCACTCTTCTCCTTTCCCACCATGCTTTGGATACATGCTGTGGTAAGCATGGGAGGGTCCGCCTGGGGACCCCTGCCTCAGAGTGCAGGCCAGGGAGGCAATGCCCAGCCCACCTAGCACGGGGGCAGCCTCTCAGCCGCCCACTGGCACAGACAAGCATCCTGCACCCGGCACCTGCAGAGGGCCCCGGGGCTGGTTTGTTTTCCTTCCTCCAAAGCGCCCCCTCCCTCTGCCCCCCACAGCCAGGTGGGCGGCTTCATGACCTCCTTCACTGCGGAAAGTTGCCTTTGGCTCCTTCGGGTCCTTCCTTTAACCTAAATGTTTCTGCGTCTACTCCTGACCCCCCACTCCCACCTCTGAGGAAGAGGCGTCCACCAGAGACCCAGGGCCGGCACCCCCCTCGCACCTCAGTCTCCGCCACTCTCTCGGCCTGAGAACATCCGCAGTTCTCCCAGTCTTCCAAAGAGCTTCGGCCCTTGAACTCCAGGCTGCTTCCTCCCCACCACCCACGGCAACAGCCCACCCGGCTTCGGGTCAGCAGGACCGCCTAACGGCTGAGGCTCAGGCAGCCTCCAACACGGCTCACCAGTCCCTCTTTCTGGAAACTCAACAGCAGCCTCAAACAATGACCTCATGCTCCTCCTCCTGTCTCCTCAGCCTCTCTGGCCACCTCTGCTGGCTCCTTTCTTCTGCTCACCCGCTTCCAGAGCTGCCTCGCAGCCCCTCCCCACAGGAACCCAAGGCGCTAAGAGGCCAGGCCCTGCCTCCCTCTCCACCCTCCCCTGGCGCACACTTCGCACTCCAGCAGCAAGAAACCAACCCAAACACAGGCCGCCCACCGAACTGACTGAGGCCCTCACTCGCCACCTGCTTCCCGCAGCCAGGCCCGGCTCGGGCTGCCCCCTTTTGTTGTGACTTTGAGTCACAGCTCATCAAACTTTCAGATCCTTCACTTCCAACAGCTGAAAAAACATTAAGCAAGCACCTCTAACATACATATGTTTATTCGTAAATTAAATATATGTTCTAAAGTACCGACACGTTCTATATGTTACAAAACAAATGCAAACAATTGAAGGAAGAGATAAAGATGAAATATGTTAAATTATTTTATTCTATAATACAAAAAACTTTCCTTCTCATTATTAATAATAATTTCAGTGAGAGCAATGTGACTGCTATGCTTCCTTTGACAGAGTTTTAAATAAACTTTACGTGGAAGTACAGTATATGTGCAGAAGAATGCATACAATAATACAGTACCAGCGCACAGGTCAAAGGATTCCCGCAAAGTGAACATACCCGTGTAACAGCACCCAGATGGAGGAACATCATGAGCCCCCCACCACCCACCGCACCCCCTTCGATCTTTACCTGCCTCCCAAGGGTGGTCACCACTCTGCTTTCTAACAGCAGAGATTACTTCTGTCCGTTTAAACTTTATACAAATGGAGCCATACAGTACACAACCTTTTGTGCCTGAATGAACATTATGTTTGTGAAATTCATCCTGATTTTTCATTTTTCATGGTTGTTCACGAACTCATACTGATCACAGTTTCCCACTGTGGGAGTTGACCCTGCATCTGTCCACTCTGCTGCTGATGGACACTGGCATTGTTTCCAGTCTGGGCTATCACAGGTGGTGCTGCTATAACACTCTTGAGCGATGCCATTTGGTAACACATTTGCATGCCTTCCTGTTGGGTTGATGCCCAAGAGCAGAACTGCTGGGTCATAAGGTGAGTACATGTTCAGTTTTGGTAGATGATGCCAAACAGTTTTCCAAAGTGGCTAAACCAATTCACACTCCTACCAGCATTCTGGCTGCTCGGCACCTTGGCCAGCACTTGATACAGTATATATATATTTTTTTCATTTTAGCCATGCTGGTCAGTAAGATATCACAAAGTAAGTATTACGATCACTTTTAAAGGAGATTGAAATCAGTGCTTCTTTCAAGCTCACAAAACTAAGGTGAATCAGAGCAGGAACCCAGGTCTTCTGACTCCGAATAGCATACTGTGTCTACTTGCAATGAAATACTATTTCCAACATAAACACCCCAACAAGAGGCTAACGCACTGATAAAAAGAACGTGCTTATGGACTATGCCAATCCCAACACCTGACTCATGACAGGAGAGAAAGAATAAAAGGGTCTATCAACCCAACTTTGAAACAGACATATATAAAAAGTCTGGAGATCTTTCCATCCCTCACATTTGTACAGTTCTTTAGAGTACAGACTGTGTTCACATGCATGATCTCTGGTTTGAGCAGGAATTTTATTCCTGCTTTTTCTGTTAATTAAGGTTTAATGTTATATCTTCTTTTAATAATCAGTTCATTTGTATTCTATTTTATAATCATAATCACAATTATTTAGAAATAACTTTATATTTGAATGGTTCCACTCTGACTGCCAATCCTTTCCTACTCTGACTTGTCCATTCATGGGCTTTCATTCTGACTCATCTCTCTGTTACTGGAGCATGGCTTCCAGTGATTTTTCCCCCCAGGAATGGTGCGTGGGTGTGGCAAAAGCTACACTCAAGGTGTGTCCTTGTAAGACTGAAATGAATTTCTGTTGCCATCAAATGTGAAATAAAACTTGGCTGAGTATGAAATTCTTGGGTCACAACCCTTCCCTCAAAACTCGATGAGTACTGCTCCACTGCCTCTGGCACCTGTGCTGCAGACAAGCCTGAGCCTAGCTTAGTTTTTTTTTTCTTGGATTTAAAGGTTCCTTCTACCAGAATGCTAATGGTATCCTCTCACTATCCTTGAAATTAAAACAAAAACAAAAAACAAAAACACTTCACCTGGATATGTGAAGTGTTAGATAATTTTGTTACTTTTGCCTGGTTCATGATGAGCCCTTATAATTTACGGATTCAGGTCCTTCTTCGGTTCGGGAAAATTGAGGATTTGCTCTGGTCTCCAGTCTGGTCCATCATCCACGTCTGTGGTCTCCTCTGTTGCTTTCCAGTCCCTCGTGAAATTGGCAGTTTGTCCTCCTCCTGACACCTTGAATTTCTGCAGTGCCACTAATTTCAGTGCTAGCATGTGTGATTTATTGCCCCACGTTCTTTAAGTCCACAAGCTCCTGCTTCACCTCAGTCTGTTGACTCATCATTTCGTCTTCCATAGCACCTATAACTTCTCTGAGAGGACAAAGAAGATGATGTTTGAAATTTACTTCAGTTTACTGAGTAAAAGTTTGGAAACTTCTTTCCCAAAGCCTGATCTTCTCTATTTTTTGCACCCTTGTTTATTTCCCTTTATACTGCTGGATCTTTTCAGTGGGTCCTCTCTAGTTTAATCTGTCTATTCGTTCATTCTTGAATGAGGACAGATGAGACCTGGCCTGACATTTATCCAAAAATAGTGCAGATGGGCTCCCCTTGGTCCCCTCTCCATTCACCCTGGTGGATTCAAAGCTAAGGTCCAACACCATCTCCATCACTCATCAACGGTGACCACTCTTTAGTTAACGTCTTCACTTCTTTTGCCTATTTCCTCCTGTATAAAACTAGAAAGTCGAGCTAATCTTCAAATGTCTTTTAGCTCCACATTTTTATAATACTTTTATACATCATCTAGGTTTAAAATTTCATTAGTTTGGAACCAATTGTCAAGGATTTTGCTAAATATACGTATAAACAAAAAATACACTATTTCTTAAGAAAGACTCGCTGTACTCAATTTTTAATTAAGAAAACCACAAATATTAAGCTCAAGAAACAGACTTCATTTGATTATACATAAGAAAAAAGAGAATTATAAATAATTTACCAAGAGCTAGCAGAGTACATGCCCCAGGGATGTGCTGGGTATGAAATGTGTACAAGAGGCAAAAGCTAAGCACAAGGAACTGAGAGTAGCCTTTCTCTCCCATTCCGCCTCCCCCCTGCACCTTCAGTCTTGTCTAAACACGGCACACCAGGTGGAAAGACTGCCAGCTTCCTGAGCCATGGCTGGGCCTGCCTTTCCACAGCCCACAGCCATTCTACAGGGTAGCGTTGACTGAGAGCTTCCCATTGCACACGCTTCTCCATGCATCGTCCCATTTGATCCTGACAACACCTGTTGGGAGACTCAGTCCTCCGCGGTCTCTGGCACTCCAACCTCTCTTGTTGGGACTGCCAAGAATGCAAGGTCCTGACCACCCTTTACCTAGGCCATTTCACAGGGTTGTGTTGCAGAGAGCAACCTTGAGAGATGCGATAATGTCTCCCTCAGGGACAAAGGGCGACCTTGCTCACTGCCTGCCATAAAGCAGCAGGTTCCCCAGGCTTGTGTCTCTCAGGTGTGACACAAGGCAAAGCATCCATCTGGACCCACAGTGTCACCTCCGTGGGACTTGGGGGAAGGGAAACTGACACACACTGATGCTTATGCTGGTAATAAAGTCCTTTGTCTGACTCAGGAGTTATACATACCAAAAGATACCAAGTAGACAAGAAAGTTCTCCCTCCTAATTCCCCCTACTACCTGATTCAGTAACCTGTCTCTCCTAGATCTTACTACAGAATTCAATATACATCTTCCCACCTTTAACTCCACTTTTTTGTCCTTTACCTCAAACTCGCCTAGAATCCACTGCAGTAGTGGTTAAGCTTATCAATTCTTTTCGGCATTGAAATCCAAATGCCCCAACATAATAATCATTCCTTCCCGTGCTTCTGTATAACTCCTGATATCTCATGAATTTAGCTCCTGGGTAAGTTACCAATGAACTGACTTCTTTTCCATTCATCTGTTTTCCTGCTTTTACCCAAGCGCCATGTGGGATTAATAAATTATTGCCTTATAGTAAGTTTTGGAGGCTCAACCATTTATAGGCTCCACATCTGTTAAATGGGGCCAGTAATGGTGAGGCTGGTCCCCAATATCCATCCTCCTCTTCTTCTTCAGTAACAGAACTTCTGGTTTTTAGATGGACATATGGTTTCCCTGAATACAGGTTACATTTCCCAGCTTCCCTTACTGCCATGTGTGGCCATAAGACCAAGAGAAGGCCGATGGGATGCAAGAAGTGTCATGTGCAATTGCTGTAAAGTGGCCCTCAAAGTCTGCAACATAGATGCAAAAGCCAGAGTTCCAGCAGCCATTTCAGGCCATAAAGTGACCTTGGTCTTAGAAGCCATCCCCAAGATCACCTCACGATGGAACAAGACAGAAGGAACCTGGGTCTCTGACCATGTAGGCTCAATACTCTGAGCTGATTACCCTCCTGACTTCTCACACATAAGACAGAAACTTCAATCTTATTTATGTCTTCATTATTTTGAGTTCTCTGTCATTCATACCCTAACCTACAGAAATGGCTCCCTCATAAAGAGAATGCTAGAAGGTTACATGAGAGTATGTATCACAACAGATATCCATTTTTATATTCCCCCAACAAAGGGGCAAGTGTTGTTTTTACACAGAGCAGGCAACTCAAACATTTGCTGAAACAAACAGAATCCGGAAGAATGAGGCCATTTCACTGCCTTAAAATTTTTTTTACCAATTTGTTTTTCCAGATGAAGATCGCTATTTTATCAAGTTTTATAAAATGTATCATTGGAATTGCATTAAATCTTTACCAATATTTGGAGATATAGTATTGTCACTATTACTATGTTTAGACTTCCCTGGAAAGAGCCAGAAATTGATTGACTCATTGATTTTCATCCTATCTATTCAAAACATTTAATATGAGGCTACTCTGTAATAAGCCTATTCGTAAAAATGAGACTTTGTGGAGTTGGCGAACAGACCTTAGGTAAATAATCTCTCATGCCACCTCCCCCAGTGCCCACCAAACACTGAGGGAGGTGAAAGAGGTGGTGACAATCTCTACCATCACTAAAGACTAAGGCTAATGTGCTACTTTGTCCTCATCACCTCCAGCTGTTGATCCAGAATCCTCTTGCCTCGCTTCTTCACAGCCAATAACACTCCCCTGACCAAGGTTCCTGGGCCTGGGGCTTTTTCATCTTCCATCATGTAAACTTTCCTGTGATGCTCCACTGTCATCCTTATCCTCTCAGTGCTCCCGCCCGTAGGTGACGGTCACAGAGCTGACCCGGTTATTGCTGAAGTTCTTTATTTCACACACTTGCTATATGGGTGGGGTTTAGTCCAGTGGAGATATCTGCAGAGGTCCTCAGCTGATGATGGTACCATCATCGTCACTATGACTACTGTCATTTACTGAAGCAATACTCTGTGACAGATACTTTGGTAAGCCCCTTACCCATAGGAATATACCACTTGGTCCTTACAATAATTCTCTAAGATGGGTATTGTTATCACTGGGTATTGTTTCAAGTGAGAAAACTGAGGCCCAAAGAAGTTAGATAACTTATCCAAGGACACACAGTCGATAAGAGTATCCTCCCTGGCTATGGCAGCAAGCCCTTGGGCAAAGGCAGGATTTGAACCCAGCTCAGTCTGACCCCCTATTCTCAACCATTTCTTTATGTTCCATCCCACAGAGCTGAACATGTTATGTTCTGTAAGGTACATGCACTCCCATCTATCCATCTATTCCCTTCTCTTCGACTAAGCATTGGGGTTTCTCAACTAAACAAACATTAATCCCTTTTCTTCTTCCTTTCCTGAGAAACAAACGGCTTCATACCAGGATGGCTGGCCCTGGTATTAAGGACAGCTACTTCCCTCCAGGTATCCCTGATCCTGTCTCACTACTCCTCAGCTGTGGCTTTCAGCACCAGGGTCAGTGGTAAGCGGGTCTCTGCCTCCGTCCTACACTCCTAGGTCTTTGGGTTCAGGGTGATACTTACAATAGACATGTTGGATCATAGATCAGTCTCCCACTGGCTCTCTCAGATTAAAGGCTCTTCCCCAGGTTCTGTTAGCTGATCTGAGGCATTCTGTCCTACCAGGGGGATGGAACTCCACTTTGGCAACTTGGGACCCGCCCTCCACCAGCCGTCTGAGTAGATCTCAGGTACTCTTATAACTCTAAGACCTTACTTGTAAGTTCTGGAAATTCTACAGCAGGCTCTTCCCTGTTATCCAAGCTCAGGACACATGGAGGACCAAGGATGCACTCCCAAGTCACAGGGCTCCCACACCACATTGGTCCAGGCCCAGTGGTTTCTCACCTTCAGAACTTCCTCCCACATGTCTGGTAGCTGCCTTTCCTGGGATCTAGACACATCCCCTTCCCACTGAGGTTGCAGACCCACCCTGAACCCCAGAATGCCAGATGGGGCCCCAACTTTCCTGCTTCAGGAGCCAGAGATTTCAGTCCGAAGGGCCAGCAAAAGAAGGCAGGGGTGGATTTCTCAAGAAGGTTCTGAGAGAGGCTGAAGGGTTTAGAGGCTGGATGCAGAGCCTCCTCTGCAGAGTCTTTCACACACGGAAGCAAAGGTCATTAAAACGACCTCTCTCATGTGGGAATGGCTCCGCTGTTAGGGAAAATAAGGGGATCAGGGGTGGCACCAGAGCACTCAGCTTCCGGGGGACAGGGTCAGAGGCCCTGCGGGAAGAGAGCTGGAGGGGATCCCACCCCACCAATTCCCATAGCATCACCTTCTTAGGTCGCTCCTTCCTCACTGACCACCCCTCTGCTCCTTCCCCAACGCTCCCACTGTGCCCCGCCCCACATGCTGGCTCCCCCAGCAGTCCAGCCAGGACCCTCTGCTCCCTACACATACCCTTACTGAGTAACTCCCACCTCCCCAAGGGCCAAGGCTCTCTCTCCAGACCAGTGGGGCATCAGAACCACCTGTGAAAACCCTTCAACACACAGATGACCAGCCTCTCTCCCACAAACACCACGGAGGATTCTGCTCTGGCTCAGACCTCTCTCTGAGCTCCAGGCTAGCAGGCCAGCTGCCGGGTGCTGTCCCACAGGCGTCCCAAACTCAAAATGGCCAAAACCAAACTCACAACTTCCCCTCCCAACTCAACACTCCTCTCACGTTCCTTATCCTGTGACTGTCCAGCACTTCACATCACTAAGTGAGAAACCCTGGCACTGCCCACCCTCCCTCCCATCCACTAAATCTCCAAGGAGAGAGGCCTCTACCTTGGTTTCTCTCGAACCCACCTTCTCCTCTCCATCCCTATGGCTCCCTCACCCATCTCCCAAATGCCAGTCTCCTCCCATACCACCCATCCTCCACACCAGGAGTATAACTGAAGGGGTCTCTCTCCTCCTATAACTCTGGAACAAATCTCCACCGGCCACAGGATAACATCCGAACTCCTAAGCACTGCTAGCGAATCCCTCTGAGGACTGACCCCAAACCACCTTTCTGACCTGTTTCCTGCAACCCCACACAGCTCACCACACCTTAGCCACAGCATGGTCTCTCCTGCTTCTGGACGCCTGTTATCTGTTTCCTCTGCCTGTGTTCCCCTGCACCTGGGACACAGAACATCTATCTTTGAGATCCTGTGAGTCTGACTTGGTGCCATGAGCTTCCATTTCCACTACTTACCAGCCCCAACACAGCATCATCGTCATTTATTTACTCCCATCTGTCGGCTGGTGGGCTCCTGAGGGCAAGGACTGCAGTGTCAGGCCCAGTTACGTGCTCAGTAAGTGTTTACTTCATGAGTGAAACCACTAATGAGATCAAGGTGTTCTTCCACCCCCTCAAGAAGCAAAGGAAGCAACCAATCTTTAAAGCAATAAAAATAAGGCCAACTGCTATCTGGGAAACCATGGCAGGTAATGTTTCAGTAACAGATGTTTTTGGTGATAGATGGGAGTTCTGAAAAAGAAGAGTCAGCAACGACAGACTCGGTCGGGCGTCTCCAGCACAGGTCAAGAAAGCAATGCCCTGACCACTGGGCCGTGAGCACTGCAGAGTCCCCTCACGCTCAGGGCTCTGACCACCCCAGCTGTGTGACTTCGTGAATTCATCACACCCTTGCCCCAACTGGGATCACGACACATGCAGTCGCCACCTCTTCACCTTGCTAGCTCCAACTCCTCTTTCCTCTGGGAAGCTGTCTCTGACCTCCCAACTGCTTTATGGCCTCTGAGCACCTTGTACTCTTCTTTTACAGCCATTGTCAGTGCTGTAATTAATCTTTCGTACACTTATTTGTTACGGTTTTTGTACTTATTTTTATACTTACTTAACTTCACTACTAGACTGTGAGCCAAAAGACAGCAAGGACCAGACTTGTCTTTTTCCTCTACTGCAGCCCCACACTTGGCACAGTGCTAGCACTCAGCAGGCCCTGAACAAGGACTAGATGGATGCGAGGGTGGGTGGGTAGACGGATGGATGGACGGCAGATGGACAGATGGACTGGCAGGCAGGCAGGTCTGGAAGACAGGGAAGAACAAGGAATAAGGCTGCCTTTCGTGACTGGTACAACAGTTTAATAACATCGAGCTCTCTTTACTCTGATGCGACCCTTGCAAAGCAACCTCAGATCTTAAAACTGGGGCTTTCGGGGCTTCCCTGGTGGCGCAGTGGTTGAGAGTCCGCCTGCCGATGTAGGGGACACGGGTTCGTGCCCCGGTCCGGAAAGATCCCACATGCCGCGGAGCGGCTGGGCCCGGAGCCATGGCCGCTGAGCCTGCGCGTCCGGAGCCTGTGCTCCGCAACGGGAGAGGCCACAACAGTGAGAGGGCTGTGTACCACAAAAAAAAAAAAAAAAAAAAAAAACTGGGGCTTTCCCACTAACGAAAGGATGCACACACACTGGGGATATTCCTATTTACTTGGAAAGCAGGTATCAGAGCAAAGTGACACACTTGGCATTCTGGCTTCATACCCAGTGATCCTCCTATAATACCAGGCTGCTCTCTCTGTTCCACAAGTATACTGGCTATATTGATAAAAGTAGGTTAAGTAGGTTCCAATAATCTCTCAGCCCCCTAACATCATGATGAAGCCCCCTAAGATCAACACGCATATTGCTAGCAGACCACAAGAGGCACTGCCTTTTCTCAGCCAGCCACCATCCCCAAATACCGGTGCTGGGCACCAAGTCAGGTGTTAGCTCCTCTTCCCCACAGTCACACTATAGATTCAACAGGGGGCCCTGAAGCTGAGGTTTTCATCAGAGAGAAATGCTTCTTCATGGATATGGTCTATGAGCAACATTACATGACCTGCAGGCAGCTACTGAGAAACTGCAACATACAAATGGATGGGTTTTACGGGTGGAGAATCAGTACGCCTGAGTATGAAACCCTGGCAAAGTCCCCATCCTCATGTGGAGAGTAGGAAGAGTGGACTCAACGATCTCTAACCTTCAGATCAGACTGACACTATAACTGATGAGCACGACGGCCACAGCAATGCTCACTGCAAAAGAGCCCCGTGGCAGGTATACCCAGAGACAAATTAGAGAAATAGGCTAACTGAAGCAACCAGCATCTTTTGAAAACAACAAAGTAATGCTACATATCAATCAGCAAGTAACTTCTAGTCTTATCAAAAAGCTTCCCAGAAAGAACAAATTCTAATCTTAGTTATCAACTAACCAGCACATGCATCCATCCCGTACCTTCGCTATTTATAAGAAAGATCAGGGTTTCCTGGTCCCTAGAATGAAAGCAGACCTTAAACCCATCACCCCAAACTGAACTCAACTCCTCAAATTCAATTATCAGTAACATTAAAACAACTAAAGCCAAGAGAAACTATTACAAGTACCATTTGTCCATGAATCCCTGTTTCCCTATCTCACCTGTGATTCTTCCAATGTGTGTCAGAAACCACACCTCAAGGCCGCCCGGGCTGTGAGAAAAGACACCTGAGGAGCCCTCTGCGTCTCCCATAGCTCCATCTTGGGCAATTCCTTCACCCTCTCTGAGCTTCCGTTTTCTCCTCTGCACACCAAAGCCCGCCCCACCTACCCTGCAGAATCATTATGAGGCTAAAGACACAGGTGTCAGAGACTTTGTAAAGTGTTGAAATATTTTATAATGAAGGGACCTCAGATCCAACAACCTTCTCATTTTATAGATTCAAATCAGTCACTGGGCACTCACCCTTTATTTCATTTGTCCATTTAACAAGCATTTATATACTACTTGCTACGTGCCAGATGCTACGGCAGGCACTGAGGACAGGACCGTGAGCAAAGCCACAGTCCATGGTGGGACGGGACTGCACACCCTGCACCGGGGAGCTGGACGTAAGGAACAACAGTTACACCAGTTACACCGAAGAGCATGTCGTTACACCCGCGGGCCATGCAAACGATTTGGGTTTTTTCTAAGAGAAACCAGAAGCTACTGAAGGGATTTAAGCAGAGGGAACAACACACTCAGATCGTTCTGGCTGCCGAGTACTAGCCCTGGGCTAGGCCCTGAATACGGTGGGAAGAAGAAATGCAGACTTTGGCTCTGCAAAGTCTGGTGGGGGAGTCACAGGAAGCTGAGGCTGCTACACTCCAGAGCAGGGCGTTGTGGGAGCCCCGTGGGAACACTCCTAAATGCCAGCGGCCTGAAAGTGCTGGAGATATGGTACCTAGAGAGAAAAAACAAAACAAAACACAGCTACAGGGAGGGCACAAAATAAGAAATATCTTAAAATAGTGAAAGTCACTAATTCCACATAACAGACTTTATTGCCACAAAAAGAGACGCAGCAAATTCTCCTGAATTTATTAACTTGTTTTCCATAAATATTTAATTACTCAGAAATGTATCAAAAACACAGATTCCCCTTGACCTACTTATCAAGCTTATACAAGAATGGGTGAGAATTACTGTATCCAATAAATACGAATTTAATTACATTCATTACTCTTTCTTTTGTCTCTAATAAGATGATTTCAAAGAAACCATTGACTGTTGAGGCCAAACATTTACACTTTCTTCTGATTACTCAAGTTAACTGTCTTAATCTTAAAATAAAATCTGATAATAAAAATATTTAAATCCTAAAGAGGGAAAGCATAATGTTGCATAAGTTTATATTAAAGTCCCATTATTTGGACTTGAGGATATGGGGAGCGGGAAGGGTGAGCTGTGACAAAGCGAGAGAGGCATGGACATATATACACTACCAAACGTAAGGTAGATAGCTAGTGGGAAGCAGCCGCATAGCACCGGGAGATCAGCTCCGTGCTTTGTGACCACCTGGAGGGGTGGGATAGGGAGGGTGGGAGGGAGGGAGATGCAAGAGGGAAGAGATATGGGAACATATGTATATGTACAGCTGATTCACTTTGTTATAAAGCAGAAACTAACATACCATTGTAAAGCAATTATACTCCAATAAAGATGTAGAAAATAAATAAATACAAAGAAATAAAAAATAAAGTCCCACTATTTACATGGAATCACAGAACAGTGAAACAGAAAGTACTTGGGAAACCAGCCTTCAGTTCCTGGACAGGTCTGAGACAAGGCCCACGCTTGGGGTGACTCCACCCTCCCCCTCACCAGCACCTACTGCTTTTGTGGGCGTCAAGGCTTGCGTGCACAGTCTCAGTGCAGGCTGAGTACTGCCTGCCACCCTGGGTGCTCCCACCAGCCCTCACCACCAAGTACCTCTGAGCTTTAACACATCCCTTGTGCAATAACTCACATAACTTCCATAGGCAGTAAGTTAACATCCCCTGCAAAAAAACAAGCATCCTGACAGCCCTCTAACAATGGGTTAAGAGAAGATTATTCTAGCTCACGCCGACTGGATGCTCATGAAGTGCAAGCACTATGCTAAGCCCTGTTCCTCGTCATCTACTTGAAGTCCTGTAAGAACCAGACGGAGGTAAGTACCATCACACTTCCTGTATTGATGAGGAAAAGAGGAATGGTCACCTGCCCAAAGTCAAAGGGCTTGTGAGTAGGGTCAGGACACAAACCCAGATAGGCCTGACTCCAGAGTCTGCTGTAAGTGCTGCCCTGTCCGCCTCTTTGACGCTCAGGAGATAAATCTCCTTCGAAGAACACAAGGGATTTGAAAGCTCTGCAGAAAAACCAGGGAAGAATGTGCCTCTCCACGTCTTCATGGTCTCTGCTCTCCTCAGTAAGTGCAGGCGAGACAAGCCTGACTCATGCCTCCCTTTGGGGAAAAGCCATGGAACTGATCAGTGCAGGGGGTCAAAGAGAAGGTGCTCGCGACGGTGCTGGGCTGGAACCACCTGTGAGAAGAGCTCATGCAAAAACGGGGGAGGAAACACCTGTGGGCCTGTAAGGAAAGTCCCAAGGACTCCTTGAGCACTCTGTGACTTCAGAGCTGTTTTCTCAGATACCTTGGCCATCACCTTCACCACCAACTGGCACCGTCTACACTAGAACCTGGAGAAAACAGCCAAACAGGTGCTTCCTGGTGCTGCCCCAGCACCAAGGATAAATAAAAAGACAGTGAGCACTCTGTAAGCACCAGCTTCCCGTCAGGCACCACGCTAAGCAGCCCACGGCATTATTCCACTGAATCTTCAATGACAGCCCCCAGTAAGGTAACCCTGCCATCCCATTTTACAAATCAGTTAACTGAGACTAAGAGTGGGGAAGACACTGGCCCAAGGTCACAGAGGTTGTGCGGAGGAGCCGGAACTGGAACCCACATCTGGCTGCAGAGCGTGAATCTGCTTGGCCACTTCACTCGGGGTCCTCTGTCACCGCCAATCCCCTCCTGGTCACATTCTGTTTGCACGTGACTCCTCCACCAACCATCCGCTCCCCAAGGGCAGGATGGAGATCCTTCATCTCCATATGCCCAGCACTCAGCAGAGGGCTTGGCCCAAAGCAGGAGCGCAGCAAGGCTGGTGGATGGATGCCCACAGGAAGGAAGTGGCCCCAGGACGCCCCTCACAGAAGCCAACCCAACCAACTCTCCCCATCCCTGATCAGAATCTACAGACCATCTACTCAGCTCCCTGAGGCCTGCTCCTCCGCAAGTCCACCTCAAGGGAAGGGTCAGCAGCCACACTTCTGGGGAAGGGGGAGGTGGGCTTCAGCAAGTATGAGCAGTTCATTTTCAGACTTGTCCTTCTTTCTGTTTCCCCATCTTGTCCTGGTGCAAATAATTCTTCCCTCTCCCACCCCTAAGACTTTGTAGGACAAGTATCACCACTCAGAGCCAAAGCCTACCACTAGTATATGGCACATGTGTGTCTCAGTCAGCACTCAAATACTTGGGGAATGAAGCAATAGAGTCCAGAGTCTGGGATTCACCAGAGACCTATCAATAAGAGTCTGCCAACATTCGGTAGCATGACCTGTCTGAGCAGAGGTCCATCACAATGTCCACCAAGAGCCTACCCTGGAGACTCAGAAGCAAAGAAAGCAGGAAACTTTCCCTGTGCAGGGACGAGACACAGGTATAGAATAATGCATGCAATAGTGAGGCACATGAACCAATCAAGGTATACACACAATGAAAGCCAAGGGAGCACAGACAGGAGTGGTCACTTGTAGAGGAACTGAGTAGATTTCACAGAGAAGGGAAAAGTTGAACTGAGAAGCCATTCCCAAACCACCAAGGGAAAGTCATTGTTTCCTGCCTCCCTGAGCCCCATACTGCTCACCTCCCCACCGCTGAGCCCTGTTCTGTCATCAGTGACTTGCGTGCCTGTCTCTCTGGACAGTATGTGAGCACCTTGAGGGCAAGGACTTTGGGCATTCTCCATGGCTCACCCTCAGCTGTCCAGCAAACATCTGCTAACAGAGAATAAGAGTCTAGTCTAGATTATTCATAACACAGCAGCTACCCCTTCTTGAGCATCTACTATGACCTATTACTGCAAGTACTTTGCATGCATGATCTCATTTCTTCTACACAAAAACCCCAAAAGGCAGATCCTATTATCACCATCCATTTTACAGATAAGGAAACTGAAACGCAGAAAGATTAGGTAAATGGCCCCAAGTCATACAGCCAGTAAGTGACAGAGCCGGACTTTGAATCATGGGCTGAATGAAAAATCAGTTTTCAATTACTAGTGAACAAATCCCTTTTCCTTTCTCTTTCTGTGTCTGCCTTGCATCCAGATACACAGATTGCCCTTTAGTTTATTGTTCACTGGAACCAAAGCCATTTCTTTCCTAGAGAAAAACAAGGGCTATCTCTTGTTAGTCTTCTAAACAATGACTGCTAACCATTACTGAGTAAACATCATGGCGGGGTGGGGGAGCATGGAGACACAAAATTGTGCTTAAGATATCAGTCAAAAACATCTATTAAGGAGGAATTGTATGTACCAATTGGAACAATGTTGGAACAATTTCCAAATAGATCAAGTAAATAAATAAAGGAGCAAGAGTACGTATAGGATGCTATTCTTTGTATAAGAGAAAAAATATATAACAAAACAAGAAAATGGTAACAGTGGTTGCCACTAGGGAGAAGACTGGGAACTGGCAGCTTGAGGCAAGAAATACACTTTACAATTTGTCCCCCTTGAACTACTTGTCTTTTTAAAAAAAAATCCATGTGTGATTTTTTTAATTCTTAAAAAAAATAAGACAAAAACACCATTTAAAGAAACTCCTTATTGCCAGGCCTTTTCCAAATGCTCACATACATATGACTGCAACCATGAAAAAAACTTGTATGTTTATGAAAAACTGGGTGAACTTAATATGTGGTGAAATAGGACTGTGAAACAACTTTTGTCTTTCATGTTGAGGTTCACTAATTTCACTATAAAGTTGTTGCAACATTTTTTTCTGCAATAAATAAAATGCACTTTGAAGGTGCAGATACGGCATACATATAAGCAGCAGAGATAATCTGCCACACCTTCTTCTGAAAGTCCTTCATCTGTCCCTTTGACAAGTATTTAATGAGCACCTACTATGTGCCAGGCAAAGTGCTCAACAGGTTTTTTGGGGTTTTTTTTAAGATGTTGGGGGTAGGAGTTTTTATTAATTAATTAATTTATTTTTGCTGTGTTGGGTCTTCGTTTCTGTGCGAGGGCTTTCTCTAGTTGTGGCAAGCGGGGGCCACTCTTCACCACGGTGCGCAGGCCTCTCACTATCACGGCCTCTCTTGTTATGGAGCACAGGCTCCAGACGCGCAGGCTCAGTAGTTGTGGCTCACGGGCCTAGTTGCTCCGCGGCATGTGGGATCCTCCCAGACCAGGGCTCGAACCCGTGTCCCCTGCATTAGCAGGCAGATTCTCAACCACTGCGCCACCAGGGAAGCCCTCAACAGGTATTTTTAAAAGAAGAGCTAAACAACAGGTCGCTAGCTTCCTCCCTCCTGCCTTTCAGGAAAACATGCCAATCAGAAGGCCAGAGCTAGGATCACTCTTGATGTTCACGTATTCTAACACCATCCTCACTCAGCTAAGAAAACTGAGGCCTGGACAGGGGAAGGGCTCTGATCAAGGTTACATAAGAAGCGAAGGCCTCAAAATTACTTGTCCTGCTCTCCTCACATGCGACATGCTGTTTTGTTGTGTTGAAAGATGGGCAGTCAGGGAGGGGCAGAAACATCATACCCTAACACTGACAGCCTAATATATCAGGTGCTTTCACAGATCTTGTCAAATTTATTCTTCATAACAACCTCTCAAGGTGGACATGATTATCCTTGTTTTACAAATAAGGAGATGAAAGCTCTGAGAAGCTAAGAAACTGGCGTATAAGGCTTCAAACACGTATCTCTCTGACTTTCAAGCCAGAGCTCTGACCCTCCATGCTGAAAAGGAAAATCAGGTAGACTGGAGCCATATCACAGAGAGCCCTGGAGGCAAGATTTTCCATTAACGAAGTTTCTCTCTCAACCCTGGATGCTGTCACTCCAACACCACCAATCACAAAGCCAGTCCCCTCATTACCCAACACATGTTGTAGCTCTTGTGTGCCACCAAGTTTGGGCTTTCCTTTTAACCCACAGAGCATGATGGTTATCCAGAGCGCAGCAATCTCTGAGAGACATTTACATCGTTTCTGCTGGGACAGAATGGGATAATTCACACGTGCTGCTTTTAGAGCCTTCGGGTGCCTGCCACACAAGCACGGACCCCAGTAAGGACCCATCCCTTAGATGCCATCCCCATGATGCCACTGGGTCACCGCCACACCAGGTGGTAGTGAGAGAGGCCAGCACCATGGAAGTTGGTCCCCCAAAGTCCCACAGCATCTGAAGTGAAGAAAAATGCAGGCCAGTACAGGAGAAGCCTCCTCCTGCCTTCTCTTCTGTCCCTGCAACACAGGCAGCAGGAACTGGTCACACTGCTAGTGAGCAGAGGCACTGCGCAATGAAAGGTCAAACGTATGGGTATGGGACACCCTTCCAAACAGGAGGGAGCCCCATCACCTGGCTTTCTTCTCTCTGCCCGGTAGAAACCTAACAAAGTTCTGGCATTCCCCTATTGTGGGTGTCTTCCTTCTGGCATGTGGTAAAATCAGTGTCATACTTGGGTGGGGAGGGGAAATTCCATAAGGCTCGAGTCTAAGCCTTATGCTCCAGTTCAGAGTCCTCACTGGGGTTGGGGTCTAAAGGTCAGCAAACAATGAAACGTTCCTGTGCTTCCATCTGCCATTCTCCCCGCCACAGCTCCCTCAGAGGCCTCACAGGGAGCAGCAGTCACCATCTCACCACAAACCTCATCCCAACCCCGAGCAGGAAAATGGTCTACCGATTAGAAATCCCCTCCTCTTTCGACCCTCAGTCTTCAAACACAATCTGCCCATCGGCACAGAGGCAGCAGACTCACAACTTTACCCGACGATGTACCCAGTAGGCACCGTTCCATCCCATCCTCACAAGGCCCCTGAGAGGCACACAAGGCAGGAACCAGGATGCTCACTTCGCAGAGGAAGAAACAAAGCTCAGAGAGGTGAAAGACTCTCCAGGTAACACAGAGGTAAAAGCTTCTGAACCCTCACTCCTGTTCTGCCCCCTCACCAGGCTGCCATTTCAGTCTTTTGGAGACAACCACTGTTAAGATTTGCAGCAACATCTGGTACCAGGAGCCAGCAAGCCAGAACCTTTCAAGCTTCACACTAACTACTCTGCCAGCACACACATTTCTCAACAGCTGATGGAATGAAAGCCAACAGCCCCACCAATCTAGGAGACAGGAAAAGCCCCCGAGACTGAAAAACGGGGCGCCCCACTTAAGGGCGCGGCGTGGCATGGGGGAAGCCGCCGGCCTAGTAACCAGGGCAGCTAAGACCCAAGTCCGACCCAGGAGACGCACAGGCAGGCCTAGCCGCCCCTTCCGGCCCAGCCGCAACCTCGAAGCCTCCAGAATCCTCAGAGAGCCCAAAGCTCCTGCTTCCACTCAAACTCCCTGGACAGTGGGGAGGGCAGCTTTCCCTTTTCCCGCGACCACTCACCCTTTGCCCGCTTCTTACCTGGGGCCCCGCTTCCGGACCTGCAACCACTCGGGGCCCCGCCCCCCACCGCTGTAGGTCTCCCTAGCCCCGCCCCTTGCACCTGTGGTTTCCTCAGGTCCGGTCTCTCCGCCCGCTTTGGCCTCACCTCGCAGCCCCCTCCCCCGGTAAACATGTGGTCCCACCCGGCCCCGCCCCCCGCACCTGCAGCCCCCCCCCTCGGCCCCTCCCAACTGCCTCCTCCAGCCCCGCCCCCCGCACCGGCGGCCTTTCCCCACCTCCACCCCCACACTCGCTGTACTCCATACCAAAACCCCCATTCCCACCACACACTTAAAGCCCCCGGCCCGGTCCCCGTGCCCGACACCGCCGGACACAATACCTACAGCCCCCCTGCCCCGCCCCCTGCCCCGAGGCCCCTCCCCGGCCCAGCGGCCCCTCAGGGTCCCGCCCTACACACCTGCAGCTCCCTCCGGCCCGGCCCTCAGGGCCCCGCCCCGCCCCGCCAGCCGCTCCTCTCACCGCCCGCTCTCGCCGCCGCCGCAGTCCCGGCCGGTCACCTTGACGCGGGCCGCAGTGGCTGCCGTCGCCTCCTCATGGCCCTGGGAGCGGCCCAGGCGGCAGCGGCGCCTTCGCTCGGAGGCCGGGGCCGGGCCAAGCCGGGCCAGGGCCGGGCGCAGCTGGAGCGCGGGTCGACGAGGGAGCGGAGCCGGCGCCCAGCCGCAGTAGGAACTGTCCTCTCCTGGGTCTGAGCGGCGGGCCGCTCAGCCAATCGGCGCGCGGCGCCAGACCAGTCTCCCCAACCAGCTCGTCGCAGAGGCGGAGACACGCAAATCGACCGGCTGGGCGCGCCAGTGCGCAGCCGCTGCAGCCCAGATCCTCCCTGGCCTCGCTCGGCCTGCGCTGCAGCCCTCAGACGTCGTCTCCGCCTGCGAGGATGCTCAGCTGCCCGCACACCCTCCTCAGCGCCCCGCCACGCCCATCCCCTTCCTAGAAATAGCAGCGCATCTTATTCCCCATACATCCTTCCAGGCCTCATACAATTTACCCTTGAAACCTCTACCTAGGATTTATTGTTTTCAACAAAAAATGGTTTTGTGAGAAACATCACCTTAATGCCCATTCTTTACAACTCGGAGGTAGGCACAGAACACAGAACGTCAGAGCCAGAAGAAACCTTCGAGAGCCTCGGGTCCAGCCCATTTATTTTACAGCTGGGCAAAATTAAGCCCCTCGAGGTGAAGGGACTTGCCCAAGACCACACAAGTGCAAAACTGAGAAATGAGGTTGTCTGTTGTCTGTCTGCTCTCAGATTCTTTACTCTGCCACGGACGATGAGGTGAGCAGAAGGGTTAAGTCATTTGATTAAAGTCGCAGAGGTAAGTTGTAAAGACAGCTGAAGCCAGTTCTGTTAAGCCCTGTAAGTCAGAACCACAGAAAATCTCTGTTCGGCCTCCCACAGAAAGGAGGCCCTATGTCCTGCGTTACTCTGAATGATTCTTGGACACACAGACAAGTAGAACGTCATTTTGACAATTTTCAAATTCATTTTGCAGTAACATCAGCGTATGGAAAGATTTGGTTACTGTCTTCCCAAAGCTTATGGAAGAAAAAGAGAGAAACAAAAAGAAAAGAAATAGAGTCAGTGGAAATTAAACCATTTCTAAGTCTTCAGGAGTCTCTGAGGGAAATTCCTGCCATGTTGCATTAAGAAAGAATAATCATCAAAGAAGATACTTAGCTATTTTACTTAAAGAGAACAAGAGACAATGTAATGCAATGGTTCATTCTGCTCAGAGCCTCTGGATTCAGAAATGCACAGGGTGGGTGTTGAGTGCAAACTCTGGGGACTTTTGACTGCCTGAATCCAAACTCTGCTTCTGCCCCCAGCAAGCTGTGTGTAAGTAAGCAAGTTATTTAACATCTCTGTGCCTCAGTTTCTTTATTGAAAAATAAATATGCTGAAAACAACACCCTCTTCAGAAAGGCTGCTGGGAGCGTTCAGTGAGGTGACACATGGAAGAAGGCCTAGTACCTAACAGGAGCTCAATAAACATTAGCTATTGTTATTTCTAAATGTGTGACTTAGGGCAAGCATGGAAGTTCAGCATAATGCGTGTAATATATGCTTGCTAAATGACATCTCTTATTTTTAATATGCTCATGCATAGCTTCTAAGTTTTCTTCAATGAACATAGATTCTTTTGTAATACATCAAAAAGTTATTGTAAACCCAATTTTAAAATGAGAAAAGGATCTGAATAGTTATCCAAAGAAGATCTACAAATGCCAATAAGCACATGGAAAGATGCTCAATGTCGTTAGCCATCAAATGCAAATCAAAACCGCAATAAGATACCTACTCACACCCATTAGGATGGCCATAGCAAATAAGATGGACAATAACAAGGGTTGGTGAGGAGATGGAGAAATTGGAACCCTCAAACACTGCTAGTGGGAATGTAAAATGGTGCCACCACTTTGGAAAACAGTACCTTAAAAGTTAAACATAAGGGGCTTCCCTGGTGGCGCAGTGATTGACAGCCCGCCTGCCGATGCAGGGGACACGGGTTCGTGCCCCGGTCCGGGAAGATCCCACATGCCGTGGAGTGGCTGGGCCCGTGAGCCATGGCCGCTGAGCCTGCGCGTCCAGAGCCTGTGCTCCATAACGGGAGAGGCCACAACAGTGAGAGGCCCGTGTACTGCCAAAAAAAAAAAAAAAAAGTTAAACATGTGATCCAAGAACTCCTAGGTATATGCCCAAGAGAAATGAAGACATATGTCCATATAAAAAACTGGTACACAAATGTTCACAATATCCAAAAAGTGGAAATAACCCAGTGTCCATCAGCTGATAAATGGATAAATAAAATGTGGTATATCCATACAATGGAATATAAAAAGAAATGAAGTACTAATGCATGCAATAACATGGATGAACCTTGCAAACATGCTAAGTGAAAAAGCCAGATCACATATGATTCCATTTATATAAAATGTCCAGAATAGGCAAATCTATAGAGAGAGAGAGTAGATTAGTGGTTGTCTGGGGCTGGGAAGATGCAAGAATTGGGAGTAATGGCTAAGGCATGTGGACTTTCTTTTTGAGATAATGAAAATATTCTAAAATTGGTGATTGCACAACTCTGCGAATATACTGAAAGCCATTGCATTGCACACTTTTAATGGGTGAATTATATAGTGTATGAATTTATCTCAATAAAGCTGTTTTTAAAAGTTATCAGGAAGTCTGATCAGTCATGTCACTCCTATGCTCAAACATCGTGTAACAGGATGTGGAGAGGATCTTAGCTGCATCTGCTAGGGTTCAGATCACCCACAGTGAAAATGTGATGTGCTGGTGGAATGGGCCAACTCTAAATGAGGGGAAGGAACTTTTGAGCCAGGGGAGGAAAGGAGGGCTGGAAAAGTCACCGAGGCCAGGCCAGCTGCCTCCGCATAGGCTTGTATTTCATGGAGAGCCAAGCTTTGGGACAGTTCAAGGAGATGTTTTCATTAGAGATGTTGATCAACAAGGAAGCTGTGGTAAACAGACTCTAAGGTGGGCCCCATAATCCTCACCTCCCAATGTCTATGGGCTTGTGTGATCCCCTTCCCTGAGTGTAGACAGGACCTGACTTGCTTCTAACCAGCAGAATAAGGCAAAGATTTTAGGTTGTATGTGATTACGTTACATAAGTTGTAAACCATCTAGCTAGGAGACTCTCTCTTGCTGGTTTTGAGGATATAAACAGCCATGTTGTGAGCTGCCCTGTGGAGAAGATCACCCAGCAAGGATCTGAGAGTAACCTGCAGCCAATAGCCAGCAAGAAACTGGGGCCCTCAGTCCAGCAGCCTGCAAGGAACTGAATGGTGCCAATAATCATGTGAGCTCAGAAGCAGATCCTTACCCTGTCAAGCCTCAGATGAGACTGCAGCCCCAGATGAGACTGCAGCCCCCGCCAACATGTTGATTATATCCTTGTGAGACCCTGAAGCAGAGGACCCAGCTAAGCTGTGCCAGACTCCTGACGCACAGAAACGTTGACTGACTAAGCCACTGCCCAGCAAGCAAAGAGGATGCCCTCCTGGTGGAACACAGAAAGTCCCTGGAACAAGGTGGTGGCTCAAATGCTAATGATTTCACTGGTGGTGACCTGGGTGGTGATATTTATCCCCGTGGAGGAGGATACTGTGGTTGGTGCTATGAGGCCAGTGTTTGAAAAACATGGGGAGGATAATGCCTACAGAGACAGAGGAAGTTAGATGGCTGGTTAAAGCTATATTTTATTACAAAAGGATGATGAGAAACCAAGAGCTGTTCAGGAGCAGTTAATGGCTAAGTGTGAGAGCCAGAGAGCTCTGGAGGTAGCTTACAAAGAGGCTCTCATCACCTATGTAGTGGAAGGACAGACACATTGAGTGGCAGGCTGAAAACCTGACGATTAGAGTCTAGAGCTCCAGAGATATTTGCTCAGCCAAGGCAAGTCTGTTTGGTGAAGGTCAGAGCCCTGGTGGGGAAAACCTAGGACTCTAAATAATGGAATGGAGACATCTGGATGGATGTTCCTGGGGATGTTGACTCTGCAGCATGAACCCCAAGCTCCTCCGGGCTTGCACACTTTTCTTTATTAAGAACCAGAGCTACCACTCTGCTGGCAGGTGCTACAGAAGCCCTTCCCCACAGACAACAGGTGTCCCTACCAGCAGTGCTGCCCCTACCTCCTCTCCAGGTGGCCGGGCTGGTAACTAGGGTTAAATCTCAGCATAACCTGGCTGTTGATGCCCAGGGCCTGATAAGGAAAAAAATAGGCTATAAACCTGAAGAATGGAAGAATTAGCCAGCATGCACTGGCAGAAGCCAGGGGAGTACCCCTGGGGTTGAATTTTGAGGGTGCTTGATCAAGGAAGCTGGAATGTAAGACTAGATAAGCAAGAATTCATTGACTTGGGGATACTTTCTCAGGACATGGGATCTAACAGCCTAGCAAGGACTCCAGCTACTGGAGTGGTTCTTAGAAGCCTGGAAAGAAGCAATGGCCAATTCTCAGTGAAGCGGAAATACCTAATTGCCCTGGAAGATGGTAGACAAAGTGGCCATGCTGAAATGGTCATACAGTCGATCTTCATTATTCATGTTTCCATATTTGTGAATTAGCCTAGTGCTAAAATTTATTTGCAATCCAAAAATCCACATTCCCAGCACTGTCAAGGTCATTCACAGACAGGCAAAAATTTGAGTCACCCAATGTGTGTCTGGGCAGAGGTCAAATGAGGTGACACTCTGCCTTCTTGTTTAGCTCTCACACTGTAAACAACTGTCTTTTTCAAGATCTATTTAGTGCCACGTTTTTCACATTTTTGTACTTTTTCTTGGTGATTTTGCTGTTTAAAATGGCCCCCAGGCATACTGCCGAAGTGCTGTCCAGGGTTCTAAGCACATCTCAGTAAGATGTGCCTTACTGAGAAAGTGCATGTGTTAGATGAACTTGGTTCAGGCATGAGTTACAGAGCTGCTGGTCGTGAGTTCCGTGTGAAAAGATCACCAGTATGTATCACGTAAGGTGTCTTTAAACAGAAACACACATAAAACAAGGGTATGTATTGATTGGTTGGCAAAAATGTTGTGACCAGTGACTCAAAAGAACCTAACCCTGTGTTTCCCCTAGGAGCAATTGTTCAGTATTCACTAACTTCGTGTTCTCAGCGACTTTATAGGGCATAATTCCTGA